AGGTTTGAGGGACGATCTAGTTGAGATCTGCGAATTGGAACGCTAAGCTGTGCGTGTGTCTGTACATATATGTGTCTGTGTCTTGCTTTGTTGTCATCGAGCCTGCCGACCAGATGATCAGGAAGCGAAAGATGAAAACGAAGGTGACCGGGCAGAAATCTGAAAGCAGGGCCTGTTGATAGTCTGCAGATGCCAAGTCCATCTCGCATCGCGGTAAGGCGTGACCTTAGCGGGAGGAGGTCGGCAGAGGGAGAGCAAAGCCTGTGGAGGGCTCCAGCCGGTGGAAGACGATTCCCATTTCTCAGCTGGAAAAGTCAGCATTGCTCACTGCATGTTCCAGAAGGAGCAGAATGCAGCAGCTGTCTTGAGTTTTTGCAGTGCCCCCTCATCAAGTAGAAATTTGTGGGTGCCAGAAATTTTGGAAGAAGCCGCAGCAGCAGGTTCTTTGCTTTTGCCCAATGGGGGAGGACTTGGAATTTTTTTTTCAGTCTTGGTGCAGATGGCGTAGTTATTTTAAGTAAGTGATGTGCTGCTGCAGTGAAAATGGGCAACTCTTTTTTCATTTTTCAGCCTAATGAAAAAAGAAAAAGGAGAAGGAGAAACCCCAGCTAGCCAACTTCGTGCTAATGCTTGTCTTTTTTGCATTCTAAATGTGTCCCAAGACACTGAGATGGGATAAACATTTCAGCTACTAGAAAGTCCTGCTGTCCGGCTGAAAAGATTTCTAACCTCTTTTAAAGCAGACGGGGTAGTAATTTACTTGCACAAATCCAGACACCCCTGTGTCCCTTATTTTTAACTATATATGTAAGATCCCACTCACCTTCCGGGGGATGACGCAGGGGGTAGATGGAACTTTCTAAGGAGGAGTGTGAGGGATGGGGGATAAATCAGTAACTGAACACTTGGTTTTCTTCTGAGAATGACCACAGATATTTACTGAGAACCTACTGAGTGCAGGATGCCCAGGATGGAGAGCAAAACGAAGCAATGCCCTTCGGCCTTTGGGGTCGTGCAATCTGGTGGGGAGAGAGTACAGATTCATTGGTGAGCACATTTGGGGTGAAGGAAAACACAGGACACGACCAGAGCAGAAAACAGGGATCAGCTTTAGATCGGGTGAAGGAATCTCAGAGTCAGTGATGTAAAGCTGAGGTCAGAGGACAAATGAGATTAGCCAGATGTACCAGTTTGCTGGAGCTGCCGTGACAAGGTACCACAGAGTGAGTGGCTTCAACAATAGACATTTATTTTCTCATGATTCTGGAGGCTAGAAGTCTGAGGTCAAAGTGTGCAGGGTTTGTTTCTTTTGAGGCCTGTCTCCTTGGCTTGTAGATTGCTGCCATCTCCTTGAGTTTTCACGTGATCTTCCCTGTGTGTGTGTGTGTCCTAATCTCTTTTTATAAGGACACCAATCAGATTGGATTAGGGCCCATGCTAATGGCCTCATTTTAACTTAATCAACACTTTAAAAGCCCTAGCTCCCAATATAGTCACATGCTGAGGTACAGGGGTTAGGACCTCAACATATGAATTCTGGGGGCACACAATTCAGCGCATAACAGCAGGTGGAACGTGCATGGAAGAATTGGGGTGAGTGAACAGTGTGTGCAGAGGACCACGGCAGGGCGGACATTGGTGTTGGAAGAAATGGTTGGAATGAGATTGTAGAGGTAGGCGGGGCCTGATCATGCCTGGCTTTGTAAACCATGGCAACAGTTTTAGATTTATTATAGGGGCACCGATGAGCCATCAGCAGCATTTAAAACCTCCCTCTGCTATGAGGAGAAGAAACTGGTGGGAGTGAGAAGTGAAAGGGGGAAGGTTGGTTTCAGCCAGGATTTCTCACGTCAGCACTCTTGACTTTTCGGGCTGGGTGGTTCTCTGTTGTGAGGGTCTGCCCCGTGCATCGCAGGTGTGCATTCCTGGCCTCTACTCAGAAGAGGCCACAACCGAAAATGTCTCCAGACACTGCCATATGTCCTCTGGGGGCCAAACTTGTCCCCCGTTAAGAGCCATTGGTTTAAAGAGGGCACGAGGTCTCGGTGGCTTGGATTGGATGGTGTCAGTTTAGTGAGGCACCTTGGATGGGTTTGAGGAAGATCTTTGAAGACAGAGTCAACATGATTTAACCTCTCTTTGCCTTGGTTTCTCCTCATACTCTCGAGCCTGCTGATACTGTCACTTCCCTAAAGCACAAGGCCCTGCGCCCCCTGTGTGGGTGATGGAGTTGCTCCGACGTGCACAGACTGCCCCTCTGAGTTATCATTCACCCGGCCCTGGGGATCCGAGGTCCTGCCGGTAGGGCACTGGGAGCCCCGTGGCTGCAGGACCACCTGTGTCCAACCCACGTGGCGTTTAGTCTCGGCATCGCACCCTCTCATTTATCAAGTCCCCGTGCCGCCAGCCTCTTGACTCCCAGAGCAAGCACTTTGGGATCTCGTCTGGACAGTTTTCTTGCCCCAGAAATCTGTTTATCAGAACAAGGTCTCACAGTTTCGGCGACTCTTCCAGGGGGCTTGCCTTCGAGGAGCTAGTTCTGCACAACCAAGTGTAAGTGACTTCCGAACACATCAGAATGGCAGTTACGTTCTGGAGCCCTGAAGAGTTCCCTGCTGGCCGGGGGGAGCCCAGAGCAGTTGTTAGGAAACAGCTGGCACGTGTAGGTTTTCAGTGTTATGTATTGTGTGTCTGGCTGAGATCCACCTCCAGGCTGTCCTTCCAGACTCCTCTCCTACGAGACCCACTCTGGCATCTTGCAACTCTGCCCGGAGGTGGGGAATTGGCCTCACGACCATCTCAGGGTTGGTGGTGGCTTCCTCAAGTCGAGCCTTGAGAGGGATTCTGATATCGACAGTGGGCTCAGTGGTCAGAGTCCACTGTGATTAGTGATACCTGACCTTGGTGTAGCATTGGGGAAATAGGGGCACAGTCTTCTCGCAATTCCTAACTATCAGAGCTCTGTGTTTTTTTATTCCATACCCATCGTGGCCTGTGCTGAGCCTGCCTGCTCTGGTCTTTGCCATCTTTCTGTAGATGTGACAGGTCCTTACGTTTCATCTCTTTGTCTATCAACGTCCACTGCAAATGCCACCTCTTTCCCGTGACCTTTCTTTAGTGCCTTGAATTCTGACTTTATCTTAAGAGCACTGGGGAGCCATTCAGTGGCTTTTTAAAGCCAAGAAGTGTCATGATTGATCTGCTCTTTAGAAAGGTCCCTCTGAGATAGACTCGAGGGGAGTCTGGGGTCACTTGTGGCAGTGATCCTGGTAAGAGATGGTGGTGATCTGGGCTGCAGTCGTGGCTGTGGCAGCGGAGACTAGCATGCAGGACTTGGTGACTGGCCATCGTAGGGGGTGATTGAGTGAGGAGGGGACAAGGAAGAATTTGAGGAACCCAGTGCAGGTTTTTAGGGCAGGATGAGGCCCCTCGCTGTAGCTGCTCTTCTAGAATTCTTCAGTGAATTACACAAGCTCATTTTCAGTAGGGTGTTCATGTACAGTATAAATTCAGTGCAGTGGGGCAGATGGTCTATAAGGAATAGCCATGGCACCTGGGCTGATGTGGTACCGCTTGCCTCTGGCTCTGTCTTTTCCAATTTTTTGCCCACTCGTTCCAGCTGTAAAATGTTTTTAGTGTAACCCCAGTAGAACTTTAGGCACACAACAGGGTGACTGCCCATTTCTCCTTGGGGAAGACTTCAGAGGCAGAGTAACACAGAAGTTGTATGCTAATGGGTGTGTCGGGATTTCCAGGAGACCCCATGAGTTGAAGGGCATTCCAGGTAAAAATTACAGCACATGTAAAGGATAGTGGCATGAAAGAAGGTGTGATGTCAGGGGTCTGGCATGAGATGCTTCTCTTGGCAAAGCTTGTGGAGGGGCATCGTGGGCCCTGCCCTCCCTCCTGCTGCCCCCAGGCAGGTCTGGACATCCCTCTTAGTACAGGGCACTAAAATTGTTAGTATACCCTTGTGCCTTTCCAGCCCGGAGGGAAGAGCACTAGCTTTCATCTATGCATCTTTAACACTTAGCAGAAGTGTCTGGTCATAAATGTTCAATAAATGCTTATTGAAAACTCAGGAGGGAGCCCTGGAGGGACCGGTCTTTTATTTCTCCTTTTCCTCTAAGACTTTCATTTCCTGATGGCTCCTGATCTCCCAGCCGTTGATCACAGCAGCTCAGACGGATCAGATTGATCCAGTTCTGGCTCCCTTGACAGTCTGCCCCCGGGGTCCACTGGTGGATGCATTTAGCTCTCCTTGGCCTTCCCTGTTTGCTTTCCAGCCCAGGAGTTCGCACTTTTGGGTGAGGGCCTTGGCATTCTGTGCCTGTGTTCAGCGGAGTCGAATCTAAACCTTGGGGCTCGGTGCTAAATCTCCTGAAACGCTTGGCAAGCAGCCCAGGGGCCTTGGGACTCTCTTAGGGTTAAAAGGCCTGTGTTGAAGTTTTGGTCTGGCCTTTGCTCCCCGTGTGACCCCAGGCAGGTTGGTTTTTGTGGGTGATTCCTGTTTCCTAAAGTGAAATGATGTCCCCGTATTCCCGCTGACTTGGCCCAAGTGCAAGGATTCTGTGATATAGGGCCGCAGAGTCTGAGGTCTGGACGGAGTCTGCAGTCCCTGCTCCTGGGTACTGGGAGGCCTGCGCTCCCTCTGTCTTGGCACCTTCCTTTGTAGCCACTGCCCATGGCCAGAAAAGAACGTGTGGGTTTTACTACCAGGCTTTTTGACAGAGAAAGAAGAAAAGTTCGTGAACCCCTGTTGTGTGCCCAGCACCAGCGAAGGGCTTTACCTGGGGCTCTCCGTTTAGTCCTCGCAGAATCCCTGGGGGTGGAGCAGATTCTGGGTCCCTTTCACAGATGAGAAAACTGAGTCCCAGAGAGGCAACGTCACCCACCAGAAGTCACACATACACAATCCGTGTCGAAGAAGAGTTGTGCGGTCCTGGGTTCTTGCTGCCTTGGCGGCGCCGTCTGACCTCCCTGTCCCCTGTCTCCCACAGAGAGCCAGCTGCTCCCCGGGAACAACTTCACCAACGAGTGCAACATTCCAGGCAACTTCATGTGCAGCAATGGGCGGTGCATCCCCGGCGCCTGGCAGTGCGATGGGCTGCCCGACTGCTTCGACAAGAGTGACGAGAAGGAGTGCCGTGAGTGGCCTGGCCCTTTGCTGGGGCAGGAGGAGGGTGGCGGCAGTCCTGGGGCATCAGCGAGGAGTTCTGGGTCTGACTCAGCCCTGCACGCTCTGCGTGCTGCCCACAGCGGGGCCAGGGCCTCTGGGGGCAGGGCTGTCCTGCCCTCTCCACCTGTAGTTCTGTCTCAGAGCAGCGTGGTCTGTGCAGAAACAGGGGTCTTGGTGGGGTGGGAGCCACAGCTTTGGGGGAGCAGAGGACCTGTCCACCAGGCTCTACTCACCCTCCCGCTGGGAGACTCTCACTGCCTTCACTTTGCACGCGAGGATGCTGAGACTCCCAGAGGTTATGTAGCTTCAGTATCTTCTAACCAGCGAGCAGCAGACCTGGATTTGAACCCAGGGCTGCCTGACCCCAAGGTCCAGGCTGGTAAGCATCTTGCACATCTTCTACATTGTGCAGTATTCTTGAGGATGAAATAAGCTTTAGCATCACGTCAAGTGTCTAGCGTGGAGTTGGTACTGACTTTGTAGTAATCTGCTTCCAAATGCCCTTTTCTTTGCCAACACCTGGACACATCTTCAAATGGGCAACACCAGGACCGGGATTCTTTCTGATCCTCTCCACCCCCTCCTTCTTCAGCCTCTTTCCCGTTTTGTACCCAAAATCCGCGTGAGATGTGAGTCAGTGGTAATCTGCGAGAAAGGAGGCACCAGGGATGTGAGTTGAGGGGCCTCCAGGAAGTGGAACGATCCTCCCTGCCCCGTAGAGGTGTGTTTCTCTTCTTTGCCAAAGTTTGGTGCTGCAGAGGGAGCTGGGCCACGGCACGCTGGCCGGCAGGAAGTACACCGGGAGTCCTGGGCCCAGGGTCGTCCGGTGCCTGGGGACCACACAGCTGGACGATGGTTCTTGGCTGTTTCCTGGGCTTTGGGCACCAGGCCACAGGGCCTCTCGCACAGGAGAACTATGTGTTCTGGCTCTGAATCTGCCGTCTTTTTGGGAGCCAGCTGAGGAAATGAGGAGAAGATGATAATTTGAACTTTTCACATAGCTGTTACCGGGATTTGAGGCTCAGCTTGTTGTTGCGCAGGAAGGAGCTCTGGGTTTGGGGCCCCCTCTGGAGCCAGGCCCCCTCTTCCTCGTGATGTACTCCCTCTGAGACTGGCCCCTCTGAGATCTGTCCAGTATCCCTGCTGCCTGCCCCCGCTCTTCAGAGAAGTTTTGGGAGGGATTGGGTTGAGGGTATGTTTTTTGTGGGAAATAGTTCATTTTCTTTGTTGCTTGTGATTTCTTCTGAATCGACTATTATACATAATGCATTTTTATTTTTGCAGAATTAAAAAAGAGTATTATGTCTATTGCAGCTTTTTCTGTTTCTAGCCTGGCTTCAAAATTGCTAGAAATTGAATGTTTGTAATTTGAGTTTCAAATGAGATAGTATGCGTGAACCCTATAATCTGTCCAGTTCTGAGCATTATTAAACACTCTGAATGTGTGGAATGATCATTTTTGGAATATGGTGTGTATTGGAACTCCAGTAAATGCAGATTGTCTTTAGCTGAGCTGGGAATGTTCAGAACGGGACACGTTTGTGACAGAATACAGGATCGGAAGTTGAGACCTAAGTTACATCCCCAGCTTTGTCAATTTCTACTGTGTGATTATTAAAGTTCTCTGTGACAAGCTGTGTCCTGTGCCAGTCCAGTTCCATGATTTCAGAATTCATGCGTAAACGGGAAGAGTTGGTGGAAAGAGAAATTTTAAAAGAAAAGAAAAGAAAAGAAAAGATAGTGTGGGCAGCTGCCTGGCGCAGTTTGGTTTGGTTTGGAACAGGCTCGCCTTGGCTATTCTCCGTTAATTTTTTTCTCCTCATTACCGACCTGTCACCCCCAAGTGTAGTAGAGACTTGATTGGCATTTATTTAGTCTTTTGATCAAAACATAATTTGAAAAACCATACACATAAACACATGCATTCGAAAAACCTTTCCTCTGTTGCCCTTCTTTTCTCCTTTGGTCTTTAAATTCTAAAAACAGAAGAACACTAGAAAGTTTAGACAACAGAGGGAAGGAAAAGAAGTCCTTTTTCTAAGACAAAGTTTCCTTGCATTTCAGATTTCTTACATATTCCCTTCTCAGTCTAGGACCTGCGGGTTGAGCCCTGGAGAAGGACTGTGTCCAAATCCCAGCCCTCCCTTCCATCCCTCTCCCCCAGCGCTGTGTGATCTTAGAAAAGTTACCAGAATGGTCTAAAACTTAGCCATTGGAAGGATTAAATGAGAATTAATTCCTTAACCTTCTGCTGCCTCAATTCCCTCCTCTCCAAAATGAGAATAATCAGCCTTCTAAGTGACATTGTTGTGACGTTTTAATGCATGTTAAGCACACAGCACAATGCCTGGGTATAGTCAGTGACTTGTAAACGGTAACTGTTATTGGTCAGTCCACACAAAGTATATTCATTGTCATGGGGACGCGTGATTGAGTAACCTGCTTTTTCTACTTCAATGTAGAGGCCCTTTGCCACGTTACCATACATGTAGCAATGATAATTGGTGTTTGTGAGGTTACCTACTGTTCCATCCAGTAGATGCACTGCAGCCTAATTATTCCCCTCTTGTCGGGTGTTTGAGTCTCTTTTGCTTTTTTACTTCTGCTGATCAAAATGTTTAGGGTCGACAGCAATCCCACTACTGGGCATATACCCTGAGAAAACCATAATTCAAAAAGAGTCATGTACCACAATGTTCATTGCAGCTCTATGTACAATAGCCAGGACATGGAAGCAACCTAAGTGTCCATCGACAGATAAATGGATAAAGATGTGGCACATGTATACAATGGAATATTACTCAGCCATAAAAAGAAATGAAATTGAGTTATTTGTAGTGAGGTGGATGGACCTAGAGTCTATCATACAGAGTGAAGTAAATCAGAAAGAGAAAAACAAATACCATATGCTAACACATATATATGGAATCTAAAAAAAAAAAAAAAGGTTCTGAAGAACCTAGGGGCAGGACAGGAATAAAGACACAGACGTAGAGAATGGACTTGAGGACATGGGGAGGGGGAAGGGTAAGCTGGGACGAAGTGAGAGAGTGGCATGGACATATATACACTACCAAATGTAAAATAGGTAGCTAGTGGGAAGCAGCCGCATAGCACAGGGAGATCAGCTCGGTACTTTGTGACCACCTAGAGGGGTGGGATAGGGAGGGTGGGAGGGAGACACAAGAGGGAGGAGATATGGGGATATATGTATATATAGCTGACTCACTTTGTTATAAAGCAGAAACTAACACACCATTGTAAAAAAATTATACTCCAATAAAGATGTTAAAAATTTAAAAAAATTTTTTTAGTAAATAAATAAAATGAGAGAGTTGAATAAAACAAACAAACAAAAACAATGTTTAGGGTCGATTAAGGAACTTATGCATGCCTGGAGGGTAGAAATACAGGATGGTTTCAGCCAGAGCCAGGCTGGGCTGGGCTGAGGTCTCCAGGGTAGGTACCATCTGGTCCATCCTTGCGACGGCTCCCTGAGAGTTGTCCATTTAGAATTTGTGCCGCCTCCTTCTGTGTCTCGTTCAGAAGTTACAGAGCTCTTTCACTGATTCTCTGGAACAACTTGGTACTTACAGGAAGGAGAGAGAAGGTGGCTGATACTCTCACTTGGTAGAGGTGATTGCCTCAAAAGCCCTACGACACAGCTTTGGCACTTAGAAAAGAATACACCTAACCAAGGAGAAGTCTTGCCCTTGCCGAAGGGTGAGAGAAGGGCCTGGAGAAGTGTGTCTTGGAGGGATACGAGGCAGAGAGCAGCTATTCTGTATCCACGGCAGAGGAAAGATTTTCGTGAGACAGGAAGAAACTTTTTTATTATAAAGGTAATAAAATGTTATGTTGTAAAAATCGGGGGAACAGGGAAGGAGAAAAACAGAATCCCACATAGAGTCTGTACGCTACCAGACCCACTGTGGGCATCTTACAAGTTTACATTCAGGCTTTTCTCAGTTGTAATCACCATAGGTATATGATTTTATATTTTAATTTTTTTCCCAGGTAACATTTCAACATATTAACATTTTTCTATGTTTTTTCCCCCATATTTCCCTATCACTTTTAACGCTTAAGTGGCCCATTCACTTGGTGAATAAATATAGTTTATTTACTTATTATTTGGTATTTATGTTGTTTCCAGTTTTTCACTGTTAGAAATAGTGCTTACGGTTGTGAAATGAGGGTAGATATGACTTTCCCCCTGTTTTGAGAAATGGTCTTCAGCTCGATTCTCAGAAATGCCATGACCAGGTTGAAGGACAGGAGCCTTTTCTGCCTCTTGCCCACTTGTTCTGCTACTGGTTTGCATCAGCTTTTGCTCACGGGCAACATGTGAGACGTCTGGCTTTGTTTTAGTCTTGGCAGCATTGGGAAATACCTTTTTTAAAAAATCGGTTTTCTGGTTCGTTTAATAGTTGAAAACAGTTACATATTTTAATTTTCATATTTTAAGTTATCTAAAGAGGTTGAATGTTTTCCCCAACCCCCTATGGACTAGTTGTATTTCCGACCTTGTGAAATATCTATTAATGGACTAGAATAAATTTCCAATTGGGTGGAGTCATTAGATTTTCCACCTTAGAGTTTTGAGAGTAGGGGCTCCTTTGGGGATAGTCTGGGTGTATTTCTGTTCTTGGTTAGCAGAATGCCCTAAGTGATCGTTTTAGCCAAATAACTTTTTGTTATAATAAAGGAATAAGGATATGTTTTAGAAAAGCATACAAGTTCCATGGAAGCCCTGATTATGGCAAGAGCAATGACATGCCGTTACTTGAGCTTCTCCTGGGCTGCACTGTCCCAGGCACTTTACATTATAGTAATTCACGGATTGTCACGAGCCTTATGAGAAAGGGACTGTTATTATCTCCAGATGAGGAAACTGAGCCACAGAGAGATGATGCAGACCCTGTCAGCTGTCCCAGCGTGTAAGTCCTCATAACCTTCCTCCATCAG